CTTCATTTTGTTGTAGCTTGGCCTTTCTGTTTTGCTATGCATTTTTTTTTCTTTGAAGAGTGAAGACCTGTTAAATATTTAATTTACGTAGTAATGAGTGAGCCAGCAGAATAATGAAGCTGGTCAGAGTGCTGTGGAAACACTGAAGTATTCTAGTCACTGAAGAGTGATGGAATAAGGTTGCTAAATTAAGTGCCAAGCAGAATAATGGCCTCTGCATCTCTACCTGCAAAGTATTTGCAGTACTATCAGTTTTCTGTAGAGTTAACATCTTACAGATGTAACCCTTATGGTTGTAATAAAAAACCTAATCAATAACAAACAGTGAATCAAATAAAAGGTACATGGCCCTAGAAAATGAGGTAATCCATTGAAAAGCATTCAGGCATCCTTTTTGTCTGATTTCAGGTTCTGTATATTTCTAATTCTTTCCTTAACTTTATCACCTTTCTGACATATGCTCTTTCATAGCTAATTTTAGAACACAGTTTTTTTTGTGAACATGTTTTTCTATTATGCTTTATTTTTCTTTGTAGGTATGTTATTTTTTTCCCTATACTTTTCTTCTTATGAAAACCTTGTAGATTTCACTGTTCTTTTCTGTTGCTCATTATTTTGTAAAATTAGTTTTAGAAAGTAGGACTGACATGATATATAAGTCTTAGGACAGGTATTACATTGTACTTTATTATAAACTAATACTCATCAAAAGACTCAGATTGCTAAAATCAGAAATGCAAATGGACATATTAATACCAATTTACAGAAATAAAATCTATTATAAGAGAGTACTATGAACAGTTTTATACTAGCAGATTAGATAATTTAGCTGAAGTTAACAAATTCCTAGAAATGCCCAACTTGCCAAAACTGAATCATGGAGAAAATCTGAATGTACCTAGAACTAGTAAAGAGATTGGATACATAATCAAAAACATCCCCAAAACAACAAAAAAACCTTGAGCAGATGGTTTCACTGGTGAAGTCTGCCAAATACTTAAAGAAGATTTAACACCCATCCTCAAATTCTCCCAAAAACTTGAAGAGGAAGAGCATTTCTTAACTCATTCTATGAGGCCAGCATTACCCAGACACCAAAGCCAGACAAAGATACTACAAGAAAAGAAAACTATAAACCAACATCTCTTCTGAGTATATGTACAAAAGTTTTCAACAAAATACTGGTAAAATAGTTGCAACAACATATTAAGCAGGATTATATACAGTGACCAAGTAAGGTTTATTCCTGGCATGCAAGGATGGCTCAACAAATGAAAACCAGTCAATGTAATAACACCGCATTCACAGAATTAAGGAAGGGAGGTGGGGAAATACATGGTTATTTCAATTGATGCAGAAAAAGGAATAAACGAAATCAAAATATCCTTTCATGATTTAAAAAATCCAACAATCTAGGAATAGAGAGAAAATTCCTCATGGATAAACAAGAGGTGGTATATACGTATATACATCGGAATATTATTCAGCCTTACAGAGGAATGAGATTCTGATACAAGCAAGAACACGGTTGAACCTTGAGAACATTACACTAAGTGCAGTAAGCCGGACACAAAAGGAAAAACATATGATTCCTCTTATATGAAGTATTTAGAATAGTCAAATCCATNAAGCAAGAACACGGTTGAACCTTGAAAACATTACACTAAGTACAGTAAGATAGGGACAAAAGGAAAACCGTATGATTCCTCTTATATGAAGTACTTAGAATAGTCAAATCCACAGCAACAGAAAGTAGAATAGTGGTTACCAGGGACTGAGGGGTGGGGAAGATGAGGAGTAGTGGGTACAAAGTTTCAGTATTGAGATGTCGTCAAAAATTCTGGAGAATAGTGGAACTAGTTGTACGACAATGTGCATATACTTAATACCTCTGAACCCTACAGTACTGTACCCTTTAAAATTGTCAATTATGTTACATGTGTTTCCTCAATTTTTAAATGAAATAAACGGGGGGGAAAGTATTTTCAGTTCTTTATGTAGTATGGATATTAACCCCTGGTCTATTATGTATGCAGCAGAGTTTTTTTTCCCAGTCTTTGCTTTTGTCTCTCTGGGATTCTTTATCTAATATTTGTATAGTCAGTCTTTTTTGTTAAATTGTTCACCCTGGGAGGCATTCTTTGGACTGTCTTAATCTAAAGAGCCATATTTATTTCAACTTTATGAAATCTTCTCATTTGTTAGATTATTTTCACCCTCTTACTATCTAATATTTATTTCTAGAACTTGTATTAGCAAGATTTTAGAGTATGTGGAATTATTTTATATGTTAACTCTTTCATTTCTTCCACCTCTATAGTCTTTTATGCTATTCTCTGGGAGAATTCCTCAAGTTGATCTTCTTACCTTGATAATTTCTAATTAATATCTATTCTGCTATTTAGGGTAACTGTTGACATTTTCATTTTGACAATTACATTTTAATGTATTATGTCTATAGTACGTTTCTGGTGATACTATATTTCTTTAAACATCTCCTATTTGTTCTGTTAACTAATATAAAATAAGCCATAAATCAAATGAAATTATGCTAGCACCATTAAAGATTGTTTAGAGGTTACAAATGATCCCTGGAAAGAAAAGCCCATGTGCCTGTGTAGTGCTCCGCTATAGGGCTGACTTGGACGTTGCCGAACTTCCATGATTTTAAGGGATGCTTGTAAAGCATGGTGACGCACAATGAATGAGATTGGAGGTCTCCTACCTATTAAAAGGACTATACGAGTCCTCGATGTTAATAATCAGTCCTTCAGAGAACAAGAGGTAAGACTTTTAGAGAAAAATGAAGCCAGAGGAATGTTTTCTAACTCTATGGAACTTTTAAGGTTTTTAGTAATTTAATAACAATGTAATCTTACGCTTTTGATCTTACTGAGTGTTAAAATATATGGCTTTGGTTTATGTGCAAGCTTGAGATGTGTTTAGGAACTATGGTGTGAGTCTTAGAACTATGGTATCTATACATAGCATAGCTTGAGTGTACATAAACTTTATACAAAAAGAAAACTATTTTCCCTGTTTATGTTGCTCACTTTGATTAAATTGGTGACATTTCTGGTTTTTAATATAGTTGTGGCTTACTTTAACTTTCATTTTTATTACCTGGTCTTAGAAACCGCTTTATGAAGTGAGTGGAAAACGAGTCCCTTCCTTGCAAGTCAGTGAACATATTGCCCCTAAAATGCTGTCTGACTTAGTGCTCTTTTTTATTTTCCTTTCCACATCTAATGCTTTCATTGTGTATGACTTTCTTTTTCTTCAGAATGAAAAATATGTTAAAATATTTCAGCCAACAAATCATTAATATTTGGGGTGCTTCTACTTTCTCTGCTTTGTCTGTGAAGTCATTGTGGTTTTTAAAGGTCTTTATGAACATTTATCAATATAAGTCATGATTTTTATGACAGTTATGGGATTTTGACTGTTAATATTTAGTACTACATGGGTTATTTTCTTTATACTGCATTGTACAATATATATACTCCCTGCTTCAAATACTCTATAGTGTATACTATATTACTGCTTACATGATAGATCGAAATAGCGTTCCTTTATTCAAATTAACTATATACTTCCTGTTTTGATTGTGTGATGGTTTTGTGGCTGTATGCATATATCAAAACTTACCAATTATGTTTTAAATATGTGCAGCTTATTGTATGCCTCAGCGGCACTGTGTGTCGTACATACACATTTTGGTAGTTAAAATAGGTGCCATCTTTAGGAGGTATGCTTTCATTTGGTGTGGCTTAGCTTTGGTTTCTGCTTCTCTGTTTCATTTTGGCTTTTGCTTCTATGTTTCAATTTTCTCAAAATATATAAGCATTTCCTTTGAGTAGAGCAAGGCCTACTTTGCTATTATAAATACTGAAACTGGTCATCTTTTGTACCATGAAGAACTAGTCTTTTTTTTCGGTATCAGACACTGGTCATGTTTGTGGCACACCTTTATTCCAAAATTTATAAACACCAGGAATGTTGTCAGGTTTTTATACTGGCACTAGAACATAAATAAATAACTAAATTTTACTGTTTATATTACTAAGTAGAAAGGGAAGAAATCCTATGTGATCACAACTCATTTGTATCTTTTTATAAATAATTTTTCTTTTCATTCTTCTCTTTTTAAAGTCCTTGCCAGTCAGAGGAGATTATTCATCCAGTAATCCAAACAATCTGTCAAATACTATTTTTTTAAGTGTCTTGATTTGGCTTACTATAGGCGAGACTCTCCTAAAACATTTCCTCTTACGTGCCATTACTAGTTGTGAAAAACTTAAAAAAAAAAAAACAGCCCCCAGCAGAATTTTTCCATATTGTTGCTTTTATCTGCAAAGGTAGTAGCAGTGAAAGACTTCAAATTGATTCTAACAACTTTCTATTTCAAGACATAAATCTGAGTACAAGTGGATTAGTAAAATAAATTGATTAAAAACTTGGTCTAAAGACAGAGTGCCTATAATCATGTGATTGCCTAGCTAAACCCAGGTAGTCTGGTTAAAAGCTAATAAGCAAAATAAACGATATGAATTTATATTAGTGGGTGTTGATGTTTGTTCTCATCTAAGTGAACTTTAGTCCTGTTGAAAGGAGCATGTGACTCTAGTTGGCTTTTTCTGTGTTTATCCTCATAGATTTTCAGATTGTATTTTGAGGTACCTATAGTTTAACGACCTGCACTCATTCTTTAGGCTGCGTGTATGCATCATAACGCTGTTAACAACACTTCACAACAAAATAAACTCTAGCAACACCATTATGGGAACCCCACTTGGGTAACGGTAGGATGGGTCTCTCTTCCCTTCATCACCTCCAAACACTGGGTTGGCAGACCAGCAGATCCGGGTGCAACACCAGCTCTCAAATAACTTTGTCTTTAAAGTGTGTTTGGTGACAGTGCAATGTTTAGGTTCTTACTTACCAAACCAAGATGATTTAAATGGTCCAGCTGATCCTCTACAGAAAAACTGCTTTTGGTTGTAGCTCACATGTGCCAAATCCTAACCTGTACTGCAGAAGTGAGAAAAATTTGACCCAGCCTTACAGGTGATCCATGAATACTAATCCATATCACTTTCCCACAAAAGCTTTCTGTATATTTTTTCTCAAACAGTGTATATGTATCCTGAATTGGTAGTGAACCATATCCAGTATTAACACCTTTATATTTTAATCACACTTTTTATGTTATTCATTAAAATTTTTCTTATTTATGAAAAGTTTGTGTTGTGTCTGGCAAACATTCTGCACACATATCCTGTTAGTAAGGCAATAAAGTTAGTATTGGATCCCCAGAAGCATATGTGAAAACTATGAAGGTGTCCTCCACCCCAAGCCATGTATTTCCCACCTTAGTACCATACTTTCCTACCAAGACGTTTTAAGATCTACAGACTGAGCTAGCCGGTTGCTCTTACGAAGACATTTTAGACTGGAACTCTTTAAGAATATCATACCTTGTGAAGAAGTGAGATTATAGATGAATTTCTAAATGTTAAATACAGAACGTATTTAAACACCAAATACTACTGAACATAATATCCTGCCACCCTAGGGAGGGTGCATAAGCGAAGTCTTTATTAGTTTCAGAAAGGTGCTTTAAATATATTTATGTTTAATTATCTCAATCTAAATTCTGTAGTTTTTATTTTAAATATCACATAATGTTGAGTTACAGAGTATTAGTTGTACAATACCTGATCCTATAAAGGTAAGGATTTCAAAAATTCCTTTCCTCCCAGCTAAACTAACTTTTTCCTTTCAAATTCGGTGGGAAGAGTACCTTTCCAAAGACTTTTAAATTGAAATTAAATGTTTTGTGATGTACTAGGAAGTCAAATTTGTTATGCTTTAAACAGGGAAAAGAAATTAACCTCTGTTTACAAAAAGGAGAACACAACTTTCTGACAACTGCTTTCTTTCTAGTTAATATTGGCCAGTCTTCCTGTGAGGTAATTGCATCTCCATTCATCCAGAGGACTCTGTACTGTCTTTACTGAATAGAAAGGAATGCCTCATACTGGACCTTCTGCCCATGTGTGTGTCACCTCAGGCTTGCACGGATGTGTGTTATAAAGGCAATCACACATGTCTCTGGCCACAGTGTGCATTTTTACTATATATCTTGAAGGTTTCTTTCTC